GTATTATATTATTTTCTTTACCATATTAATACCATATTAGCATTGTATTTAGCTCTATATTAGCATTGTATTCAGCATTATATTTTATACATTGTAGTTCTACTATATTATGCTATATCTACATTATATTGGTACTATATCAACATCATATACAATGCATATTCAGATGGTATTCATTTGTGTTTATACACACCTTATATACACACCTTAAATATAAAAATTTTGAATATTTTGGATTACTTTTAGATGCTCCTAAGATGCTAAAAAGATGCCTATTGATGCTCTCTAAAATGCCTTCTTTTTGAGAATTTATACTAGAATTCCTACTCATGACTATGTTTTATCTATTGACTCCATTTTGCTTTTTTTAAGCATCTTCTTTATTCATCTTCAACTAATAATTACCACTTGGTACTCCTATTACATCTTTTTATTCCAAAACAACCTAAGTCATTAAATTGATTCACTAGTATGTTTAAATACAAAAAAAGTACTTATGGTGCTTCAAGTAATTAGTTTAGGGAGTTAATGTAGGAATTTTGAGATAAATAGTAACTAATAGAATGTTAGTAGCTAGAATGGAACTCTTGCTGATTTTTTTAAAAATAATTCCAAAATAGAGAGTCTCACCTCAAGTTAGCTAATATAAACCTCGATTTGATAATAATATTTTATATTTATATTAAAATATTTAAATTAGGTTAGAATTAGAGGTAGAATCCTTGATTCAAAACACCCAACAAGAAAAAAGAAAAAAAAGAAAAAGAATTCAAAAGAAGGAAGAAAAGAGAAATAAGAAAAAAAGAAACAAGAAAAAAGAAAGAATTCTTTACCTTCCCGAAATTCCTGGAATAATGATGAGATCCCAAAATTTTGGGGAAGAACTGCCAGGGTCCGGCGAATTGCTTACCGAACCTCATGTTTTTTCTTGCTTTTTTCTTTTCTTTTCTTGTGTGCACGTGTGGAGCTCCGAAAATCGGGGAGGTGTAGCTGTTTTTTTTATTTGTTCTGCGGGTTTGAGTTCAACATTGGTGCTGCAGCGGTCAATCACTTCCTTGTGTTAATTGTCTTTCTTCCGTGCTGTTGGAGAGCTCCCACGTAAGCAGTTGTAGGGAGCGTTCTCTTGACGACGTTGCGTGTTGTTGTGAAGAAGGGCCACATTCCGTTTTTTTCCTCTTGTAGCAGAGGAGCTTTAATTTTCACGTAGTGGAGCGACTGCTAGATTTTGATGTGAAGGTGACTAGTACAAGGGGGTGGCAAGCTGAAGTATACTTCACCCTCTGAACGGAAGTTGTAGTTGTGTCACTAGATTTGGAGTGGCATTTTTGTCATCGACATTTTCATGTTTTCATTTATAATTGTTTTCGGATCTCGAATCTCCTTCAACAACGTTGTTCTTCTCTAGTGTTTCAGTTAGTGTAGTTGGTGCATTATTGTTTTCTTAGGACCTCATCCTCAGCAAACATCGGTCGTGAGGAGGTCGGATAGTGCTAGAAAAGAGATAGAGAAAAGAACTAGACCTGGATGCGGCGGAGGGATCTTCTATTATGAAAGATCTCCTGCTTCTGGGCTCTTATAGTTCTTGCAATGGAGCAAAAGGATTTAATGTAGCATGTAAAGAATCTAGATTCATGTTGGTGATTCTGTTCTTAGTTATGGTACAGTGGCTGCTCTACCTTGTGGTGGGTAGTGGTTTTTGTCACTTTGTTGATTGTTTGTTTGTTTGTTTGTTTGTTTGTTTTTTTTTTTTTTCCCTCATCTCACCTCTCATCGTGTAAGGGTGCTCTTCTTGTGAAGATCTCAATAGCCATATTTTTTCCCCTTCTGACTGCGGAGAGTGCATGGAATTCTCTTATACACTTTGTCAACGCACTTTTTCTGCGCTGCAAGTAACCCCCATGGCCGGCGAAGGGCTATTATTGACGACCTTCCATTGCCAGGAAATCTCTATCACCTTTGGCTAGTCTCTTCCATTGGTGATTAGATTTTGCTGTCCACATTTCATTAATTTTGGGTTTGGTTTGTCTTTTGTTGCCGAGTGGAGCTTGGAGTACGTGAGAATTAAGCTACCTTGGGCAGCAGCTCTACGTGGTTCTGTTTGATTGTGGTGCAACATGGATTTTTTTATTTAAGGTGGAGCTATTGTATTCCCCCATTCCCTTAAACAACCAATCTCTGATCTGGTGCTTCTACGACGAGGCCGCCTGATTGCTGTGGGGTCGTAGCAATAAAGGTTGGCAGAACATCTAAGACGATGGATTGAAGTCAGCATAAAGGTGATAAATTTTTGTGGACGTCCATATTGTTTAGATCTTAGCAGCAAAACTAGTGAAACTTTTGACCTAGTCGAGTAGCCCAAGGTGGCTGTACTTAGTAATATTCACTTAGAATTAAATCAAATTGTAGGAAGGAAGCAAGGACTTCCAATTCCAGTGCACTTCAGGAATGGCGAAGTGTGGACAAACAAGGACAGCCAGCAAGTTCAAATTTCCAGCAGGACGGCTATAGTGTTCCAATCTTATCATCGACACGTGCAATTGGAACCTAGCCAAAGTCAATGTGATCGACTAATCGACAAGAGATATATGCTCTCAACAATATATAGAGGTGCTTAACGGTGTTGTCAAGGAGCTTGAGCTATTAATTTGAGGACACTCTACACACTCAACAGCAAGGTTATGGTTGAAGTCAACGAGTCGTGTGGGCTGAATTTAAGTAGCTCAAAAATCTTCTTCCGTCTAATTTGACTTCAACCTCAGTGAGAAAATTAGTAACGGAGGAAGTTAGGTCATGATTCCCACAAGTTAAAGAGTAGCAGGCTGAGTGACAAATTTAGGTTAAGGCTGATGAATTCTTGTATTGGGTGAATCAAATCAAATCAAATCTGTGGATGAACTTATGTTAAAGAGTAGATGAACTTATATTAAAGAGTGGATGAATGCTTATTTATAGATGAAAAGTCATTTTTGGATGAAAATTTTTCTTAGATGAAACTTCAACTTGGATACGAATTAATATTAAAATTAAATTAATTAAAATTAAAATTTGAACCATATAAGAAAATCATCTATCAAGTCTGGTTTTATTTTTATTTTTTTTGATAATTGAATGCCTTGTGTTGTTGTTATGGATTTTTGAGTGTGGATTTTCAAATAGTCAAGAGAATAAAGAATTTAAGATAGAACTAAAGATAATTTAAACAAACAAGTATAAATTAATTAATGGTTGTGAACTATAATAGATCTCCTATTAAAGGGATTTATTTAGATCACAATTGAAGAGTTATGGCACTTCTTAGACCTTAAATCAAATGCTAATTAACCATGGTTAAAATAATTAGATAATTAAATTGTTGTCAACTAGAATAGACTCCAACTAGTAGAGATATATTTTAGCTCACATTTTAGTGCATTTTTAAGAGTGAGGCAGTTCTAATAGGCTTGAAAGGCAATTAGAAAGAAATATTGATTGAGAATTATGTGCAAAATTTCTAAGTGGAATTCAAACTTGAAGTAGCTAATAAATTGGATTTTTTGGAGCAAGAGCTCATTAGCAAGAGTCATCACTCCTTCTTCTAGTAATTTTTTCTATTCGGATTTTTTTTCTAGTAGTAGGGAAATTTAATCATTTTGTCTATCCTTCATACCATTTCTTTGCATCTTGAAAATTTTTATCATAAAGTTATTGATTTCTTAGTTGATATGCTAGTTTTTTTGTAGAAATTTTGACAATTGCTAAAGACAAGAAGATTAGAGACTCTTGAAATAAGACTAATAACTAAAAAGGCATTTACAAGAGTGAAAAAGCCTTCACTCTTGCTTCTATATATACTATCTAATTAAAAGGTATATGGCAATATTCTATAGAACCTCCAACATGTGTTCAACTTATGAAATCTAAGTCTAACTTACAAGATAAATTTTCTATATGTATGCTACATGGTTATGTTGTATCACAAGTTATCATGTGACATGTGGCTAACTTATTGGCTAAGTTTTCTATCTACCAATCAATTGCAAACACTTCTAAATTCAAATCCGCATCTATGCAACTTCTAAGAAGGTTGGCCATAAGATATTACCAAATCTATTTACTTCTACTTACTTCTATCTAAGTTCTTTAATCTAGGTAAATATGTATGTTTGTGATACCAATCATCTAGAGGTCTTTATTCTCTTAGGTGTGTCTATAGCACTTTAGGATGTGTGTGAAGCCACTTAAAAGTGTATATTTAGCCTAAGCCAATTAGAATACATCACCTTTGTTATTATTTTTACTAGTGAATTGAGTCAAATACTATAAATTATTAGTTCTTATTGATTTTTTAAAAATAATAATAATAATAATAATAATTTTTGTTGAAAAATACAAAAAAATATTAAGAATTAGAAATATTTTTGATTTATAACGATTTATTTTTTTTAAAAAAATATCATAAATTATAATAGTATCAATGTAGGATATTTGTAATTAAATGACATTGAGGGACATATGTAACAAACTAATATTGTTATTCAAGAGTACTTACAAATCTTTAGTAGATTGTACAACACAATAAGAAACGGGAGCTCAATTTCTACGAAAGAAACCCAAAGCCCAATATGTATGGAAGTAACAGGGTTCTCACGGCGCTGTCATCGACGACTTAGGAAGAAAAGGCAACTTTTTCAGCAATAGAAGTTTTGAGCCCCAAGAGAATAACGACCTGTGTTGACATGCAGACGTAAACAAGCTTCGTCGTAAATGCACCACAGAGGCTGGGTATCCCCACTCACTTGCTCGGTCTCGGCTTTCTACTGTACAATCATGTCCACAGTCAATTCTAAGGGGCGAATATCGGACCAGTCAGCAGTGCCGTTGAAAGCTTCACCACCGGAGACTGTTGAGGTGGTGTGGCGTCAAGTTCCCGTTCAACACTGGGCCCCACATGTGGGACTGAGCTTCAGATCAAGTGATTCGTGCTGTTGACTCTCGGCGTTTTCATCAAAATTGCCTGGATAGTGGTCGTTCCACAGGGATTGATCCAGTCGGGTATAAGTAACATGAGTGGAGTTCACTCACACCGTGTCACTCACAAAGCTTACAATTGCCATATCAACTCAGTGCAATCCGCAAACACTGTTGGTCTCTTCGATTCCAGGCGAGACAACTTTCCCGAGGTATGATTCCTCTCCACGGCGGAGGTTTTGGGTGAGATTAGCTCGATCGAGCTGTCAGTCTTCGTGATCGTATCTCAATGCTAATTGCATGAAACAATCCCTCTATTGTTCTTTCACATGCGTAGCAGCGATGTGATGATGGACGAAACCCAGACATGCATGCAGAAAAAGACCTCTATGTGATGGTCCTGTATGATGATTTATCGTTAGCACTGTCGTGAGGACATTCTATCCTCTCCACAATCAGAATATGCTGTTCCAGGATTCATATCTGAGATGCTTCAATGATCCTGTGCAGGTAGCAAGTTAAGCAGCGATGGCAATCTCCGCAGCCGCCTACACCTTGTGTGTGGTGCTTTGCATCTGCAGCTTTCAGACATCGGTGTTTGCGGGTAGGTTCCTGATTAGTACGCATCCATGCTTAAGCGGATTGAAAGTGTGGATCTAAATGTTGTGTTGGATATTGAACTGCGAAAAAATACCTTGATTGCAACTCTTACCACCGACCTGTGTTGAATGCAGCGTCCAAGCCGCTGAAACTGACGTACTACGCTCACGAGACCCGCGGGGGACCCAATGCCACCCTCTTGCCTGCTGCTGGAACCGGGCAGGGCAACTTCAGCGCCCTCGGATGGGGAAGTTTCCTTGTGTTCGACAACGGATTGAAGGAAGGAGCTGCACTCGACAGCAAGTTGCTGGGCAGAATTACAGGATTCGGAGCTATATCCACCGTCGGAGGATCGGCAACGGGAGGCGTGCAGGTCACTAGCAAGTTCTGGTTCGGCGATGGATCCAAATACCCCGGCTCGAGCTTCACAGTGGTGGGCACCCTGTCTTACGGCCCAACTCCCTGGGAATTGGTGGTCATCGGCGGCACTGGAAAGTTCCGAGGATACTCTGGCTACGGACTGGCCCAGCCCGAGAACTCCACCACCGTGCCTCCGATTTACGTGAACAAGTGGAACTTCTACCTCACCAAGAAGTAGACTATAACTCGTCGTGACGAAGGTCGTGTTTATGTGTCCTATAGCACCAGATTTTGGCTCCACAACACGCAGACTTATGCCAAGCTTGATCTGACGATGTAGGAGTTTAAGGTACACCACGCATCAACAGCTGACGGTCACGTGGCTGTGGAGTTTGCGAAAGCGGAGACTTCCGGTATATCATTGATCGGAATAATGAGTGAGCTGTTGTGAACAATTTGATTCGGGTGTTCATACTCGGAGTATAGTAAAGATATACCTTGCCCACTTTGTGTGCGGAATCTACACGTCATTTTTGGCTATGGATATGACTATTGTACCATCCACCGCGCCGCGGATGCCTTCACAATCAGTGTTTCGATTTCCCTCGTGTGAAACATCACCCAGATCGAATTGTGCGAAGAGCAGTTGTGCATATTGTACAGTAAGGTGTCAGGGATTCTGTCGACCGTCATTTGTCGAAATGGTTTTCGGGCACACTTCGAACCTTGTGTGCACACAATCGACCAAGCGAAGCGCTTTTTTCAGAGACAGGTAGATTGAAGGACGCTGGAGTTTAAGCTGAACCATTGCCCAATACAGCGCAAATCTCTTGGTCTTGAGCTTAATCCCAATATCCCAGTGGTCGCAGTGGAATTGGAGAATTTGTAAGAATAAGGAGACTAAGCATTAGGTGGAAGAAATAGGAAGCCACAACACGGTAGAATCGCAGTGTGGACGGATAGATGAACTGTAGTTTCTGGTGGCAGTATGATGATGGTCAGTTCTTCGACGTAAATTGATAATTTTCGGGCGTTCAGAAATCGAGTGCGTGAAGCATGAATGTGCAGCTGGTCCACTTTGGAAAAGCGTAGGGAATCATAAACACTAAGAGCACAGGAGTAAAGGGATGTGGTCATCTGGCACAGGGCTGAAACACTAGGTAAATGCTTTAGTCAAAGCAACCTTCCACGCAGATTCACTATTTTAAGAGAAGAAACGGCAATTGTAGACCTAGCCAACTGTCATGCAAGTTATGCTTCCACTCAAATTGTGCGAAAAGATTTTAACCAATATGACGCCTTGAATTTAGACAGAAAGGTAGGGATACATAAAAGTGGAGTGTTCCCCATAATAAGAAATTTATGCACTAAATCCATACTTCTCAGCTTAGAGACCTATATTCCAGTTTCCTAAACAAACCTTGCAGGTGACTGATAAATGTCTCAATAGAATTGAATCTGCACAATGACCATTTCACAGCAGTGTAAGGGAGGCATGTAATTTTGCTCTTACCAACCTTAGCAACTAGATTCACTGAGCTTGTCAATAAGAGTATGCCGCTTATAATGATACATGGAATCGTATCTCAAGAAAATTAAAGCCAGAGTTTTATCAATTAACAATGAAAAAGTCGCAAAACAAAAACACCCCCTCCTAATAACAAATTCTTCATAAAACGATTGCATACTCGAGAATGGGGTAACGGTATGCAATCGAACCTGTGAAGAAACTGGAACACACTGAATCAACGCAATATATCTTGGCCAGTGGTTCCACCATTAATGCAGATTCTGAGGATTCGGAAAAGATGCCATAAACTTTACACTACTGCCAGGCAGGAAGAGCATCTCCACTTCTTCCAGTCAGAATGTGTGAACTCAATGTACCAGTTGCCTGCAATATTTAAGGTAAAAATAGGCTCAAAATGCAGGCACCGAATATGGATTCTCAGCCTTATTAAATTACTTAAGAATTGAACAACATCAACCTCGGTTCACTTCACTCTGTTCGGAGACGAAGGGCTAAAAGGCCAATAGATTATCTTTCGTAAATGCACACTGCTGCTACTTAAAGTAAATTTGGACAGAGCGTGCTTGCATGTTCTTACCTTGAATAATCTAGGACGGAAGAGTTGACATATTCAAAGGTGGACGATCTTCCTTTAAAAAGCTGTTTCCTTGGTCAAGGTCACGATTGTTCGGATCCGTGGCAGTTGCTTCGTAAATTCCTGTAAGTTTAGCATAGGCAAGCCAACATTTAGACAGAAATATGGGTCAGATTTTAAATTCACCAGTTTGTACACGTCGATTCCATCCAATACGTGGCAAAAATAAACTGATTCGTACTATGTCTTTCCTAGACCACAAAGATACAGGTTTCCAGAAAATTTTAACAAATAGCACTAAAAACAGTTAGAGGATCAGACATGCATCCATTTACATTTAACAGTTCTATAATTCACAAGGAAATAACGATAGTAGTTGGAATCAGACCTAAACCAAGCACAGTTGCGCACACTAGGAAGCCCAGCAGGGAGAAGTCCATTCCATAAATATACTCGAAGATTATTATGCCTACTCCTGTAACCACAATGTGTGTCGGTGAGGCAACAACAATATGCAACCTGCAAAATCGGCCACAGATCAAAAACAACATTTAACGTGGCACTTAAAAAAACCATATATAGAACCTGAAGAAAAATTGTCTATAAAGAGCTGAATATGCCTTCACTGACTCACATTAATCAGTAAAAGGTATCAGGATGACATTTCAAAGGTCAACAAAGATGCAAAGAGCGTAAAGGAGACACTACAAATGCACCGGCTATTCGAGGTAAATTACATAAGAAATCTTCCTAAATAAGTGACAAGATAGAAAATTGTTTAGAATACATTTCTGCAAATCCACTTAAACAATACTGTAAACATTACTGTGTAAACACACCAATATAATCCTCATCAAACGTCACGAAAAATGAGAACTTATTAATTGCAATTACCCCAATATAATCCGACATAAATTTACGCGACGTTCCAGCCAAGAAAGAAAAGAAAACTATAACACCTTAAGTAAAGATATGGTACCTGTCTTCAACAAAAGTATCAACATAAAAAATTAGCACAACACCAAACAAGATGGTACTTATGTACGCCCATGCAGCAGATCCATGTGGCTCTGATGATGGGTGTTGCTTTCCCTGCCAGCGCATAAGACATTTGTGAGTTTGAAATCTGATGTTGACGACAATTCCCGGTAACCGACCTCTTCATTCACGCTAACGTGGAATATGATAAAAACAAACGGCATCTAAGAGAGGCTTGCAGAAACAAACACAGAGAGCATTTACCACAGCCAGTTTGAACATGGCAAACGGAAAAATGAAACACGTAGCAGCAGCAACTGTTACTGCATGCAGCCGTTTCTTGGCATGGTTCTGCAAAAGCCGAATCTTAAAAATTAATGGAAAAAAGTGAAACAGTGATAAAGATTCAATCTCAGCACAAGAAAGACTAGCAATTTTTCCAACAAATGATGCTGCATCCAAAGAGATGACACCAGAAAAGCGTGATCACAAATAATTCGGTTTACCCTGATACCCTACATATAATCATGAAGGTTAAAAGTACATGGAATTCCAAAAGAAACTCGGCAGAAGTGCACTTCTGTAAGTACCTTTGTAGACACACGGCGGCTGATGATCCGTCGTATGGCTGCTAGTATCCCTGACATTGCCGGCAACAACATGGACGATGACTTTATTAGCCCCTCCTCGCGTTCAACTGTTTCTGCTTTCACAGTAGTAGCTCCGAAAGGTAGCTAGGAGTCAAAGAGAAACTTTTCAGCAACTGAGGACAACGCATAACTTTTAGGGGTAAAGTGACACATACTTAATGCGCTAACGATTGCCTAGAATTTATACAACTCGGATATAAAACTTCATTCGATAGAGGCATGACCCTACACGTTCATGAAAACTATACCGTCCATTGAAACATCAATTGTGCATCATTTCAGGAACAGTATCAGACTAAGCTAACAATTTATGAGTGAAGTGAGTGGAAAAAGGATATAGAAAGGAGAATAGCTTGACATTGCCCATCCTTGAGAGAGGAAGTAATACGCTGCACACATGGCCAATAATCCTCCAATCTACAATCCACACCAAATGAAGTTCAGTGCACCATGTCAGAATAATAATATCAAGAACAGTACAACCACCATATCTCTCAATGGCATTAAGATATTGCACTTAGTAAGATTTACTATTAACCACAACAACCATCTACACGTATTATTTGATGACATACCCGCCTCCACACAAGGCCATTTCGGCTGAATAACAACGTCGAGATCGCCCCCAACACTGCACCAGCATATTCCCCAAGTATGGTCCTGACACCCCCGAACGTGCTTATGAAGGTTATCCGTAGGAAAGGCGAGGCCAATGAGCAAGTCGTTCATGCTTTTTTCCTAGTTAATTATAGAAGATGTCTACTCCTCAACTTCTTAACAAGTATGCACAAAGGCAAATAAAGTTTACAGTCTGCTGAAAGGTGACTTCTGAACCAAACTTCCTAAACAACCAACGCAAAGGACTACCTAGATGGAAAAGAACACGTCAGAATCATACTAATAATAATAATAATAATAACAATAACAATAATGATGATAACAATGGCTAGAAATTTTCACGGAAGAAATAAATACCTAACAGGACCACAATTGCGAAGACCATTTGCCCACAGCAAAAGTGAAAAAGCCATGACAAATCCGTTCACAACGGCAGGCATCAGCTGAAAACCCCATCCGCAACCACCTGTGATTAGTCCTCGCTAATTTTCGTTCACAATATTCAATGCAAATAGATAAACACACACACCAGTGCGATGCGGGGTTTCGTCAGTGATTCCACGCACACTTCGATCTACAAAACTGTTGAGTGACATAATCGCATCAGAACAAATAAATCATTCACTACCAGGCTGTTGGGCAGCGGACGGCCACGCCATGGACGCTGGAGAGCGGAGAACAAGGCAGCAGAGCCCAGCAAGCAGACGAAGCAGAAAAACGTAAGCGAAACCCCTCGGGCAATTACGTAATGATAAGCTGCATACACCGACACCAGTCGCAAACATCGCCCCACAATGTGAATTGCATGCATTGGTGCCATCCTGCAACCAAAACCTTCCTTAGATATCCTCAATGTCTTCCTTGCTTACCCAACACATCACATTGCTCCCAGAACGTCCATTACAAAACCCTCTAAAACTCCACACCGCATCTCACAATGTCCAAATTCCAAACCCCAATCTGACCACCACTCAACACAACCCGCTAACCCTAATTCGAACACCTAAGCCCTCAAGAACCCAATGCCGCAGAAACCCCACGCGGTCTCGTCACATCAACTCCTCCACCCAAATCGCACGAACCACTAAAACCCCAAAACCAGCCTATGGTCGCACGCACGCACGCACACCCACGGAACCCTACCGCGCGAACCCTGATCCAAGCCCTCCCCGCGGGTCTGAAACCAACAGCGTCCCCGAAATTATTCCTCCTTTGACGTGGAAGGGGGGAAGCGCTTACCGGGTAGCAGCATCAGCAGCATG